GCATCGGTGTGTTACGTGCAGTCATCTGCTTTGAATATGCAATGTTCAATGAAGTTCTTCATACTACTGTTAACAACATCACATATAATCTATGGTCGGCTTTTTGAATGCCGCATGAAAAGCGTAGGAGAAGAAAATGGAGTATGCTGAAACTAGTTAATGTGCATTGGAACGTAAACGAGTCTGAATAACAGTTTCGGTTTTAAAAAGAAAATGCTACTGATGTTTTTTAAAGATAATATAAAAATCAGCAGAAATAACCGTAAAATTTCTGCTGAAATATATATATGCTTAATTAAGAAACGATATATCCAAGATTATCTTTTTTAAACACATTGTTCTCAAGAGAGACGTACGCATTTATTTGAGACTTTAACACATGAATGCTTCCAGATAAAGAAGAAATCTATTTTTTCAGAGGGATTAGTATAAAAACTAGCGATTTACACTAGTAACTCCTGTTGCTATTGTCTAAGTAACAATATTCTTCTGCCTAAATAACTATCATATTATATTTAATCCATGTAGTGAAGCAAACATTCTACAAATCTGAAGTCATTCTACGAACCGCTTACAATGTCACGTCTATCTGAAACTCATTCCAACATTTTCGCAAGTATAATAACATTATAACTTCCATCCATTACAACTGCATAATTTAAAATATATCTGAGTAGTTATTCAGGAGATTGTTGACTTAAATTCTCCTGTGACGCCACATAATGAGTTTTTAAATGAAAACAAAGAATTCAGCTAGGAAAATTTTCTTTTCGACGATTTCATTTTCACAGCTGTACAATCGTATATATATATATATATTGGTTTGTTTGATTGGTTGCAAGATTTCATCATGAGCTGACCTCGACTACAGAACCATTGGAAAACCTGGGAGTACTAGAGAGCTGCTTCGTCCTAATCTTAGACTCTTCAACAGTACGCACCCACCAAAGGGGTCCGAACCCAGGACCTTCTGGTTACAAGGCAAGCCCGTAGACCATTAAGCCACTGGGACCCAATCCAATGGCCAGCCCATGAATTCTAACATCTGCCAATTAATGACATAGCGTGACCACTTTTCAATATCTCCTTCGATGAATAACTGTCTTCACCTACGACCTAATGTACCCTAATCGGTTCGAACCCCGTTGGGGTGCGTGCTAATGAAGAGTCCCAAACTGGGACGAAACAGCTGTCCAATACTCCCAGGTTTTCCAAAGGTTCTCTAACCGATGTCAGCTCATGATGAAATCCTCCAACCAATATATATATATATATATATGAATTACAATAGACAATAACAGTCAGTTTTTTTGTGTGTTAAAGTTTGACAGTGAGTCGAAATACTAAAGTGCTATAATAATATTGGTGTATAGGATTATAAGTCACAATTGATTAGATATATGAATGAATAACTAAATAAACAGAGGTCAACCTAAAGCTAAACAGACATGTGTAAAATAGATGATCGGAAAATAAAGTACTTTCGGAAACGTGAATATGTGAATATAATATGGTGGAGACATAGGATGAGTGAAATGTTGTCAAAGTAGTAGACTACATAAAATGTTCGAATATGAAAACATAAAGTGAAATAAAATGATACAAAAATGGATCATGGAATAAAGAAGTATAACAAAGTTTTTATGTGAATTATATAGTAAAGTCACGATCATGGTACGGAAAGAGATCGTATAAATTTTTTTACACAAAGTTGTGGCTTAATGTTGCGTACTGCCAAAGCCTCTGCTGTACACAGCAGCTGCACTCGTGTCTCTTTTGGCAAACTTTGTAGAACTTTATGGACTAAATCAAACAATGTGTCAGATGCTGCGTGGTCAGTATCTACAATATGTTGCAATATGGATGAATTATTACCTCTACGTTCTCCTTTGCCCATCCAAACTGAGAGGTGCTCTCGCACGCGGCGGGATATGTTTCTTGCCGAACGTCCTATCCACCTAGCTCCACAAAGGCAGGTGAATGTATAAATACACATGGAATTAGACAATCTAGGTAACATTTCTTTATACGAGTTTGACCACGGATTGATATCAGTTAGAGAACCATTGAAAGCCAGCATTGGAGTACTGGACAGATGTTTCATCCTGGTTTGGGAATCGTCGACAGTACGCACCCACACACTAGGGTTCGAACCCAGGACATCTCAGTTACAAGGCAAGCTCGTATACCATTCAGCCACTGGCACCCAATTCAATGGCCAGCCCGTGAATTGTTACTTCTACCAATTCGTGATTTAGCGCGACCACTAACCAATGTCATCTTGGGGAATCTATTCTCACACTTGACTGGATGGACCTCACTGGTCATGACTTCTCACTAGAACTCCAGGAAACTCCGTCCTGTAGCAAGTCACTAGCGAGCGATAAGGTGCACCAGTAGACGGTTAGAGTAGGTTATTCGTAAAGTGGCTGCAAAGAACGTTTCTCTCAATGATCTCGTCAGACTATTTTTAAGTACCTCATTTTCAGTATCATCCCTAAATTGTATATGTTAAAAAATGTATTGTAATGAACATTATTCATTCAGTTACACTTTTAAACAACAAATTAACTGACAACCTAACTTATGTTCATTTTATATAACATTTTTTTATTAAATTAGGATCAAAATGAAATGATGAAACCTGTTTTATTTCTCCAATAAGTGTGAACAGATTTGCATATAAAACTGACGATGAGTGTGATTAACAACTCACCATTATTCACCCTTAAGCAATCTAATAAAGTAATAAATACACAAAATAAACATCCACTCAATACGAATGGTGTCAAAAAAACAAACACATGGAATCCAGGAACACAAATTTGCAGGAAGTCAAGCCACACACACACCAAATACTCAACAACAATAGCAACAGTCCAACAGCGAACAAAAGCAACTGTGTATAAACATTATTCAAAAGAGCTAAAACACACTTCAGAACGTCAGTCATAAAGAGAATAGAATAGAAATGTTTACTAGTTGTCTTCAAGAAAAATTGATTCGCCTAAAATTTCATCAAATCAAATTATCAGCAAAATCACTATGAGAAACCATAAGAAAATTCATCTTTCCACACATTAAGGATATATCTGAAATAACAGTCAGAATGCCAAAACCGGTAGATGTAGATATAGCACACAAACCAACACAATCACCTCACCAATATTTTGTAGACCAAAAGACTCAACAGGAAAAGAAGACAAGGTCAACAGTATTTACAAAATAAATTGCATGAACTGTGATAAGCACCTTATTGACCAACGTCAGCGTTCCCTTCGACTCCGATTCTAAGTGCCCAAACTGGATGTCAAAAGACAGGATATGTTTTCTTTCATATCAACGACTGCAGACAACTGCAGGCACCAGTCTGACTGGGAAAATGTAGAAATTTTAAGCAGTGGTGACATCAAAAATGCCACAGAATCTCTAGAAGTCTAGTACTTAGTTGAATCAGCGATCAACCGACATATTATTTAGGATCATATTTATCAACTAGAAAAAAATTAGCCACATGACATTGGAAGTCATATACCGGATGAATTAAAACCACTAATACTAATACATATTAACAGTTAATCGCTACAAAGGTTGTCAAAAGACATAATTATTTCATTCAAGGCGCATTCAAGTAATTTCACTTCATACTGAAGTTTGAACTAAAGATGTTATCTGGAAGAACAATAAAAGCTTTGCAATCGACTCACCTACCTGAGAAAAAACAACCAAATCAATGTACATACTAATGACTACTAAACTAGTAATGTCACATATATTATTATTGTTCTCTTGGGTTCCAAATGCAAAATACGGCTTCAACAACACATCTCCAGTTTGTTCCTCTTCAACTGAGCGCACGATTGCGCATAATCTTTCATCTCCTCCTGGCACTATCTTCTCCATGTCACCCTCCCACCCATACTCTACTCGTCACTTCTCATTCAGGTTCTGCTCGAGCGATGGTCTGGAGCGCGATGTCATGCGATGGTCTATGTAGTGTCTGCTCTATCCATCTCCATTTTCTCCTAAATATTTGTGAAGCAATCGGCTCTTGGTTGGTTTGTTCCCAGCCAGAATTTCTTGTTGCTGATTCCTCCTGACCGGTCATTTAATCTTCAATATGGAGCCAGCGAAGGCAGATGTTGAAAAAAGTCAGGAACAAGCTGTTGGAAATGCTTTTCCTAACGCAAACGCCAAGTTTCTGACCCGCATAGAAGAAGTGACTGACTTAACACTGGTGTTGAAAATCTGAATCTTGTTCTTTATGCTCAGTTAGTGCAGAGGATTTCCAAACTGCTTTTAGGTTGATGAAGGCGTATCTTGCCTTTCCCATCCATGCTGACTAGCTATGACATCTTCATCCGTTCCTACTGCCTTTATTTGGAACAATGCTGCCTAGACAAGTGAAGGAAGTTACCTCTGTCAAATGTATCCCAATGATGGTGATTGATGCTGGCTGTTGTTGATGTTTCTGTTGGTTGGTTATCTTCATCACCTCCATCTTCTCTATGTTCCCTTGAGATGTGTCCTGTCTTCGCTGCCTGCATCTTCTGCTAGTTTGTTGGTTTTCGCCTGTAAGTCCTCTAGTCTCTTTTACATTAAACATAAATCACCCACACGCGAAATTCAGATCTTCTAGAGTTTTCATATTGGTCCAATGTATTCCTGCCTTCTCACTTCCTGTGCACAATCTGATGCATAATCCAGTCCACGATAATTAGCAATACCATCAGTGATAACAGGTAGCCTAAGGCCACATATTTAAGCACTATGATTACGAAATTATCGTCGGTAATAAAAATCTTTTTTCGAACCCATAACTCCTCATTATAAAGTTTTAAATACCGAACAAGTGAAAACTTACAGAGAAACCATTTAATGAAGAAAAGACACAAAACAACAGAAATTATTCTTTTACTTTCCAAAACCTGTAAACAAAATATGCATTTAAATTGAACATTAAAATGTCATATCAAAATGCAAACCATCATATTGACAATCAATCCTTTTATTCATCAAAAGTAAACAGAGCGGGGAAAAACATAAATAATCCAGGTTATAAAGAAAAATAATAATAATAACAATCATAATTTTAAAAGTTGCCATCTAACTGTTTAGTTGTATAAAAGCATCCTTTTCTATGCTCTAAATATGGCCATTTATTTTCGATTTGTTCAATTATATTTGGTAAACAAAGATTCCTTGACAACTGATGAACAGGTGCATGTGATAGACTTTCTACAGTGTTGTCTTTCTCTTTAGCATGACTATCATGACTGAAGGAATATGTTTGCCGTTGACTTTTAATAGGTCCACCAGAAGTTGGTAAACCAGCTGCTGGCAGCTGATCATAGGAATTTTGCCTTTTCACGGAATTTGTGTAATTCATTCGATAACTAGAAATTGTAATAGGATTTAACTGCAGAATATCATATGGTGGTTTTATTACCTTGATAAAAAGATTGACAAAAGTACAAAAAGTAAATTATTATAATTATAGTAATATTGATTTTATGTGTTAGTTATTTTTGAAGTGTTTATGCTGAAAGATTAACTATGAAATACAAAACCTTCCCATCTTACATCAAAAAAAGAAAAATGAACTAAGTTTAAAATGATATAGGCGTGGTTACATTTCTCTACAGATGTCTAATTATCATTCGTCTTAAAAGCTTATACTTTTATTGATGTTAAGGATAGGCCGGCGTGAATGAGTCAGTGGAAGGTCTGAGAAAAGGTTGGGTGTGAGGATATCAGCAATACCATAGCTATTGAAACTTCAAAGTTTGAAGCTCAATGTTTCACCTGGAACACGAAGGAATGTAAACAGTTAAGCCACATCAGCTAAACAAGTGTATAGTCGCTTCATTTATGATTTTAAACTAATAATATAGTCAGGCTGTTTTAATAAGTACAGAAAAGTAAAAAAGTACGTGGAGTAATAAACTTTATTTACTATTTTACTCAAAAAATGAAATATAATACGAATGTAAAGTGATTACTAGCCTCCCTGTTGGGCAGTCTTAAATTTATAATGCTTATCTTTGAATAGTGGATTTGATCTTTATTAAAATTCAAGCTTGTTTCTGAGTGACCAAGATTTTGAAGCCGTAACACGGAATAATTTAATCAAAACATACTTATTTCATCAACAACTTAGTGAACGCATGAAGTCATCTCATACTATAAGTACAGGAAATGCCCATGAAGAAACTTCGAATTCATTGAAGATGCTCATAAAAAATTTTAAAAGACTGATTAATGAACAGAGAATATTCTTTCTGATAAATTCGTCATCAGTTTGTACATTTTTATGATAGCAATAATGATTTTTCGTACTCGAGAACACTTACCAGTGTGTATAAACAAAGATGTTGTCAAAACCATTAACAGTTCTATACTGGACCACCTCATGCAAACACGCCATAAAGCTAACATTGAAGAATTTCTCTCTATTATCTACCGGGAATCAAATAAATTACCGAACACTCTAAACAGAAAACGCCACTGCGATTCGCCTAAAACAACCGGCGCTTTATGTGTAAAAGAGGCAGGTCCAGCCACCGTAGCTACCCTTACATGCTGCCGAGCCTACGAATTCATCAGTTCTGAGTTACTTCTTATAATTTATCTGATATTCAGTTTAGTGTTATATTAATGCATATTGTCTGTAACTGATGCTTTTGAAATGTAATCTGTTGAAACCATTGAATTAACGTAATTTAAAACATTCATGCTGTTAATAACAATGTCTCTTTATTTATTACTTTCATGTAAATGTAGAACCTGATGACAGATTGATCGAAAAGAATATTCTTTGTTCGTTAATCAGACTTTTAAACACGGAATTGCTAAATATCATTCATTATGATTTTTGTAAATACACAGAGGTCAGTCTAGCCGTTACTCATCGCTTCATTTTGTTCAAGTCTATACTATGAGTTTTCAATGTTACTTTACTGGCCTTTTTGCAACGGTATGAGTCGCTACTTATGCATACAAATAAAGGCTTCTCACCAAGAAAGTATCTGAAAACTACATAATTAATAGATAATATGTTGCCTACTGTTTTCCTCTTTTCATTTACATTGGTTCCTTACTTTAAGTACATTTCAACTGAATTAGTTGATTTTGCCACTTACATTGGACATTTTCAGTTTAGGTGCTAATTTTCTGCACATTACTGGTCCATTATTTTTCGACACGTGCTTTTGAAAATCTTCTCTATAAGTAGTACTTTTAAATGGATCTCGATTTGTGGCAAAATCTTCTTTAGTTTCTGCACTTGGTGTAGGCATGACTTTTTGAGGGATCATTTCCAGAGGGAGACAGATTTTTCGATATTTTGTATTACTGTTGTCCAGTACAATTGGTTTAGGCGTATATTCATGAGTGTAAACAGATTTGTTAGAGAATTTCTCTGAAG